AAGGTCTAGTCTTTAAGCTATATAGGTATTAAGAATTATAGATCAATAGTCATCCATGTTTGTCATACTTATGGTTAACTAATCAGGTTCTTTAGATGCACAGAGATTGTATTCTGCATAGATAGGTAATCTTCAACTACTTCAAAGAACTACAGATCAAAAAAAACCTACAGAATATGGCATTTAATAACTTAGAATTCTGTTGATGTGAGACACGATTGCTCCTGGCAGCACCTATCTATTCCCAAGAGAATGTTGGGCACTGAAGACACTCCACTTGGAGCTTGTTTTCTTCTTGGCAAAACTGGCCTCTGGGCAAAGAAATGCCCCTGCCTCGACCATTGACGAAATGCGTGGTGTCCAGACTGGACAAACAAAAAGACTGCCAAACCTTGCCAAGACAGAGTAAGACAGTTTTGAAAATTTTCCTGCCTCTGGAAATGGTCTGTCACGCTAGGCCTTAGCCAAAGGTGATTGCCCTATCACTGTAAATAAGACTTTGGATGACTGTCCAGGTAGGTGATTGTCTCTGTCATTTTTTGCACCTTTTAGAAGTTGCTTGATGAACTTTAGAAGAACTTCCTGTTCTTAGGTCTTTGATGGGGTTAAAGACTAGATAGTTGTAGTTATTTTCCTCTCATGACTTAGCCATTTCTAATAAGACTTAGACTCTTTTGGATAGGATAACTATTGAGACATTTAGCATATTCTTCTTGCTTGATGTTCATGCTGGTTGTAATTCTAATTTTTATATCTGATATTTGTTCTTACTCTATGTAGTTTTGTATTAGGCTTAGAACTCTCTTATTTAGACAAAGGGGGGGGGCTGTAAGAACTCCTTCAGCTAACAGCCTTTAAGATACTGGCCCACTTTGGGCGTGGTCTCATATACTATATTTGCAGACAAAAAGCATGTGTGGTCCTCTTGGCTGTTGGATTCAGTTCCAATTCCCAGAGCACGCAGAGGACTGCAGATCCCTACTCTTTCTGTGAGTTTGCCCCTAATAAATAAGCCTTTATTATACTCCATTCTGGGCTAGTGTAGAAATCTTTTGTACTACAACAGCTAGTAATGGTAGAAAATAGTGTGGTGGGCAAAGAACCTGGCAATGGTGTTTATGAGGAAATAATGAGGTTACCAGAAGTGGATCATCCAAGACTGAGGATTTATATTGATCTGAAAAAGCAATGTGACTGGTCAGGCCATTCTATACATTTTTCATTTTAACTCACATGTCTGTTATTATACACGCCTATTAGACATATCATATCATGACAAAAATTCTAATCTACTGACAGAAACAAGAACTCTTGAGTCAAACTAAAAGAAAACTCACCATTTCTTACGTGAAATTTTCTTGTACGTGTCCACTTTCTTTTCTCCCCAAATTTCATTCACCACATTTTTTTTAAAAAAGAGTTACTGGATTTTTTTGTATGTGTGTGTGAGACTTTTTGTATGTACATGAGAGAGACAGGGCCAAGTGTCCAGGCTGGCCTTGAACTTGCTATGCAGTCAAGGATGAATTAAATTTCTGATTCTCATGCCTCTCTACCTTCTAAGTCCTGGGATGATAGCCTTGCACCACCATGCCCAGTCTGTGCAGTGATAGTGACTGAACATGGAGCCTACGCGTTAGGCAGGAACTCAACCTAAACTACATCAAGTCCAGTAAACCATCATAAGTTGAAAATGTACTTATTACATCTAACTACAAACATTATAGTGTAGCAACACAGTATACAATATCAACTGTTTACCCTTTCTACCCTTGTAATAAAATCTACAGCTTATTGCCACTGTCTAGTATCACAAGAGTGTGATACCTTATATCACCAACACAAGATCAAAATCCATATTCTTGAGTATCGTTTACATAGAATCAAAGTATTATTAAAAAATCAGAAGTCAAATTACTGTAAATGATATCTGCACTCCTTACTCTTAAAAAATTCTATTTTCACAATATAAGTCATATATATAATCTAAATACTTGTAACTATTAAAGAAATATGTATAGTAATTACTAAGTACAGTCGGACAATTTTTTTCATCCACTTGACTGATTTGGAATCACCTCAGACTGGTGAAACACACCTCTGGATGTGTCCATACAGGGTTTCCAGAGAGATTAACTAAGGTAGGAAGAACTACCATGAATATCAGCAACTTCATCCTATGGACCTGAGACCTTAACAGAATAAAAGGGGTAGGAGGAGAAAGCCAGGTGAGTGCTGGCATTATTCTTCTGCCCACTCCTCATCCACAAAGAAATAAAGAGCACCAGCCTTTGTCACAGCCCTGACTGCCAACTATATCAAAGTACATGGGGCCAAACAAACATGAAATGAAGACTCTGAAACCTTGAATCAAATTAAGCCACCCTCCTTTAAACCATCCTCTCATGTTTGTGATCACAGAAACACAACAGTAAATAATACAATAATCTTTCAAAGCAAAAGCACCAGATCCAGATGAGTCAACTAGTGAACAGTACCAGACAGTTAGGAAATACCTATCAATAAAAATAAGTTGAGAGCACAGCAAACATTCGGGAGGTGGTGGCACATGCCTTTAATCCTGGCACTTGGGAGGCAGAAGTGGGCAGATCTCTGAGGTGGAGACCAGCCTGATCTGCAGAATGCGTTTCAGGACAGCCAAAGCTACACAGAGAAACCCTGTCTCAAAAAACAGAAACAAAAACAAAAAAGAAAGAAGTAGAAAGAAACCTACTCAACTTATTTCAGTTCAAAATTATCTTATATTTATTTTATTGCACATCCAGGAATGCATCCCAGGTCTTCATGCATGCTAGGCGAGCATCCCATCCCTAACTACAAGCCCTGTCTCCCAAATTATATTAATGTACAAACTGAAAATATTTCAAGAACCCAAACCTAGAAACCAAACATCTCTCAGGAACAAAGCTGTAAAAACTCTCAGCATTTCAGCAAATGGAATCCAATGATGTATAAAGAACTAAAGAGCAGGACAAAGAAGGAATTATCTTGGGTATGCAAGGCTGGCTCAACATATAAAATCATCAACAGCATACAAAATGAAAACCACATAATACCAACTTATATAAAAAAGCATTTAACAAATGTAATATCCATTTATGATTTAAAAAAAAACAAACCTCAACCGAGAGCTGGGCAGTGATAGTGCACACCTTTAATCCCAGCACTCAGAGATGGCAGATCTCTGAGTTTGAGGCCAGCCTGGTCTACAGAGCAAGTTCAAAGATAGCCATGCGACAAGGAGAAACCCTATCTCAGAAGAAAAAAAGAACAAGAAAAACCTCAACCAAGAATGAAGAGAAACTCTCTCAGCTTGATTCGGAATACTCCTGGAAAATAAAAACTACAATGAGGTCATGTTTAGTGAGATATTTAAAACAGCCTCCCACTGAGATCAGGAACAGAGCAAGAGGTCCTTCTCTCCATTACCTCAGGTTTCGTTTGTTTGTGCGCTCTGTCCCCGCCCCGCCCCCAAACATGATAACCTTAAACTCACAATTTCACCAAGGCTGGCCTTAAATGTGGGAACCTCCTACCCCAGTCTCCCATGCGCTAGGATTACAAGCCACCATGTACATCTGCTTATAGGTGTTAAGAGCAACTTTACTTACAATTTTTCAAAACTTAGAAACAACTATCACTTAGGTACATTTAGACAATGAAGAATTATTAATCATAACTAAAGAGAAATGAGATTATTGAGTAGTCAAGAGAAGACATGGAAGAATCTTAAGCAAATATTACTATTTTAAATGAAAGAAGGAACTTTGAGAAAGCTACACACTATATGATTCTCCCAGCACGCTAATCTGGAAGGAAAACAATGGAGGTTATTCAAAGTCCGGAGATGAGGTAAGGAGGGAAGAGCTGGCAGAGCACAGGGTTTTTAGGATAGTGCACTTACTTCCTACACTGTTACAGTAGCGACACATGCCACTGTATGTTGCCCAAATCTACAGAATATACAATCCTGATGTTGGTAACAGGAGAGGCTATCCATGAGGGGAGTAGGGGGTATAAGGGCACTCTACATCTTCTGTTCAGTTTTTCTAAGAGCCCAGAAGTGCTCTAAAAAAAATTAAGTCTATTTAAAATATGTCCTAAGTTTCATGACTCATGCTTACACTATTTGAATCACTGTTTTTATGATGCCCTCTTACGTGTACAACTTTCTAGAGACTGAAGAACCTTCTGAAGACTGTTAGGAAATGAGGCAAACTACATCACTATGATTCTAACCAGTGAATTTTTAACTTGAAGATTCATAACACATCAGATATTTTCATTTTTCTAATACAGAAATATAAACAATTTCTGTCTAAAGAACAGAAATGAGACAATAATCTGTTCTATTACAAAGATAAAGTAATCTCGTACCCGAATTATTAGGTTTGTCCATATGAAATGCCAACTTACACATATATAAAAATGTAAAGTGTATTACTCCCAAAACATACAAATAACTACTCAATGTTATTCTTACTGCAAGTAGGAATCAGCTATTGGTTTTAAATGTATCCCAACTAACTCTGGGTTAGCAACCTAAGCAATATTACAGAGCTGGTTTCCTTCTGGGTATTCAGTTGCCTATCAAGTAACAGCATGAACTCTATGTAGATTTAGGGGATTTAAATGACAACTCTAATCCCAGTCATGTAAGCCTAAGCCAGTCAGAACCCATCAATAATTTACTAATTTGTAAAACAAGGATAATTCATTAATTTATTTTGAGGATAAAACATGATGGTGAAAATCTTAACAAATACCACGTACACAATATAATTATTAAATTAACAACATTTTATAATTATATATTGCCTTATCTTTCACATCATCATCAATGCATAAATAAGGCTTAATTACCAACCTTAAAATAATAATAAAACTAAGTTACAATACTAATAAAAAGCTCAGCAAATTTAAAAGGAAATTTTTATTTTTAAAATATAATTTGTTAAAAAAATTAATGAATCACTTACTGATGTCTATCCTCTGTTCTACAGGTAAAGGATTGATTCGGGTAACAAGTTTTGAAAGACATGTTGCTGCAAGGAGCTGAGCATAGGATGTCTGTAAAGAACAGTAATTTTTATTATCATCACAAAAATAGAATAGTCAAAAAATAAGAAATTTTTCTAAGCAAAAACAGTAATTTGTCGAGTTCTCCAAAGTTGTACATGTATGACAAATAAGACCCATGACTACAGTCTCTCATAACACGTCATCAGCTGAAGGAGGTGTAGAGTCAGTTCAACAGCACCAAGTAAATGGAAAATAAATGTCTGAACAAGCTTAAACCAAACACTCGTACCATGGCCTAGCAGTTCTGTGCACTCTGCGCTCGTAATACCACCAAACACACCTGCTCCCACACTTCCGAAGGCTGCGCCCAAAACAGTTTTTCAGTGCTTCCCCGCGATAATTTCTCTGTTCCTTCTGGTTTATTTCTGACTGTGGCTGGCCATGAACTTTCACTTTTGTTTAAAGATTTGCGTTTTTAATCTATGTTTATGCACGTGTGCTCACATGAGTTTATGCACACTCCATGTGTGCCGGTGTTCTCGGATTCCTGGGATGAAGTTAGAGGCCACTGTGAAGCACGGATGGGAGAGCTGTGAACTGACCGTGGATCCTCAAGGAAGGAAAGCAAGTGCTCGTAACCACTGAACCAGTTTCTGAACATACCACAGTGTATTCAAGCTATAAAGTCATGTTCATCCTCAAAATTCAGTTCATATATTCATTCTACTCCCAAAAAGTTCTTACCAAATTGTACTTTTTCTCTAGATTACAAGGTGGGGGAAAAAAAGATCCATAAGCAATATATTATTTTCGTGTAACCTGTAAGCTAAAGATGGTTTTCACAGCTTTAACCACTGAAAACAACTTTAAACAGTATTTTGTAACATGTGAAAAGCAGGTGCAATCTCAACTTCAGGATGATGAAGTTTATGATGCACAAAGCCTTGCCCGGTGTTTACCTGCTGTCCAAGGCTTACTGCATGGGTAATGGCAGATCCTAGCAGCTAAAACTGACCCGCTTTACGCTCAAACCCGGCTGCTTGCTGCTCATGTGCCACAGACTGTAGTGATGCAACTCCAGTCTCCAGAGTGTCACAGGGACTGAGCCAACACAAGCCATACCTTTCATCGTATCAGTGCATAGCCATCATGTCAAGAAGAAAATGCCTAAATGTCAAGGCATAGTGTTCAATTAGTAGCAGATCAGTGAGTTTTCCCTAATGGTGCTACAGCTACCTGTGGTAAAAGAATTATATGTCAACTATTTCAAACTAAGCAGGCATAACAAGAGTTCAACTTAAGAAAGTCAGTAGTCTTTCTGAAATTTAAAACAGACTATGTCAGAACAGCAGTTTCTTTTTTAAAAAGAAGTAAAAAATGAAATCAAAGTTAAGTTTACAAGTAGCAGCTGGGCAGTGGTGCACAGCTTTAATCCCAGCACACAGGAGGCAAAGGCAGGTAGATCTCTGTGAGTTCTAGGCCAGCCCGGAATACAGAATGAGTTCCAGAACAGCCAGGGCTACACAGAGAAACCCTCTTCCTCTCCCACCTCAAAGAAAGTTTACAAGTGGCTCATTATTTAGGTCAAGTAAAGGAATCCTTACTAATGATGAGTTAGTCACCATTATCCTCCTGTAGCTGCTGACGTTAGTAGAGAAAATAAACTTCACTGGCCTTTCAGTGAGATCAAATGCTTTACAGGCAAGGCTAGTGACCTGCGAAGATTATCATTAGCTTTCAGTGAATGGGTGGAGGTTACTAATAACTGTTCATGCTATTAATGCTACTGACACTTGCCATCTACTTATTCTAGAAGTCAAGTAAGAATGGGAAGCAATTAAAAAACTGTTTCTTTTTACGAAGAATCTGTGGAACTACAGACAGAATATTTTCAAAGGAGCTGAGGAAGCATTAATTAAATATAAACCTTAGGTAGAATCTGCTATACATGTGTGACAACTGTACATGAAGCAGAAAAGGGCTGGTCAAAAGCTTGTAAATAATTATAATAGTAATAACTTTGAAGTCTGTATCATTCACTTCATTACAGGCATTTATTCTGGAGTGGACATCTAAATCACCCCTAACTTAATGAACCAGGAGTCTTCATTTACTTTTGTGAGCTCATCTTCCACTGTGGAGATTTCTGCCAGATCAAGATGCTGAATACCCTGACTTGCCCCCAAAAAGGCAGACTAATAGCTTGTCAGAGATAAATTGGATTTTTTTTCTTTTTTTAAGCTCAGGTCTGACAGTGAAAGTTTACAGATAAAGCAAAGCCACTATTTTTCACTATTAAATGGCTTTACAAATTAGTTCATACAACAAACTTGTTCTCTCAATGAGAACAACCTAGTGCCTAATGTGCAGGATATAGCACTTATACAGGGGATGGCAAGATGAGTGAGACTCAAGTTAGTAGGAAACAAGTAACATTGTGTGAGTCACAAGGACCACCAGGCCACTTCACTCAGCCCGACACTGAGAGAAGCTAAAATACGTAGTGAAAGCGCCACTTCCAACACGTTTTCTCATCTCCAACTACAGTCCCAGTAGCAATGTTTATACTGATGCAAGTATAATGAAAATTTCCATATTAGAAAATCCATTTTGCTGTGCAACTGAAGACCTTCTACCTAATTTTTAATTGGAAACTATTAATCTGCAACACAATGATAGGCAAAACGTCATACATCAAGAGGATAAGACACAGAAATGCCTTCTAAGTGAAAGTATGCGTAATGCCAGATGAGACGCCAAAGCGCTGGTATAATGTTTGGCAGCATCTAAGTTTGTGAAGATATTTTCAAAGGTATAAAATCTTAGCCAGCATGACAGGATACACCTTGAATACCAGCACTTTAAAAGCAAAAGCAGGTAGATCTCTGTGAATTCAAGGCCTGCCTGGTTTACAGAGGGAGTTCCAGGTCAGCCAAGGTTCAGCCAAGGTTCTCACACAGTGAGATCCCATTGAGAAAAAAAAATGCATCATTTCATTATAAGTCTGCATGAAATATGAACATCTGCCATCAAGTCCAATAACAGGAAACACCAACTTTAAACTCCAATTAATTCCAAATATTTTATCAGCCAACCTGTATGACATAAAAAAACTACATTTGGTGATTATACTTTGAATTCTACCAACATAATTTTGAGGATTTGTTTTCTCTATTTTCTTTTTTTGGAGGGGGGGGTTTCGAGACAGGGTTTCTCTGTGGTTTTGGAGCCTGTCCTGGAATTAGCTCTGTAGACCAGGCTGGTCTTGAACTCACAGAGATCCGCCTGCCTCTCCCTCCTGAGTGCTGGGATTAAAGGTGTGCACCGCCACCACCGGGCCCGTTTTCTCTATTATTACAATTATGAAATCCCAATTTTGACTCACAAAGCCTAAAATACTACATGGCCCTTTATGGAAAGTTTGTCACCCTTTCTGTAAAACATAAGTCTCTTTCTGTGGTATTTTCCATATCATTTCATACCTCTTTATTTATAGATCTGTGCCTCTCTAACTAAACAGTGAACTACTTTAATTCATGTAAATAGGTCAAGTAAGCTGTATGGTATTGGTTATGTTTCAGTATGTGCTGACTGCTGAGTCAATGTTCTTCTCTTGATCGATCAATCGATCGATAGACAGACAGACAGACAGCTATAAATGTATAGGATGAAGGTATAAAGAGGCAGTGAGCACTCTTCTGAACAATCCTTTGATTTTTCCAGAGTTAATCATAACTACCTACGACATTTGGATTTTTTAAGTTATTTCTGAAATAAATTTTTAGGACTGGAGATGTAACTTGGCAGTAGAAAGCTTGTTTAACATGTAAAAGGTCCTCGTTCACTCCCTAGCATTATGAAAATAAACATATAAAATGTGACATAAAAGCAGGTCAAGAACTAAGAAACTATTCCAACACATTCTTGTTTCTACTTTGTGGCCATTTCTGGGGCTTTCTAATTCTTTCCTGCTTAACCCCTCTGACAGGAAATTATAATAAATAGATGTGGCAAAAGCTGCGAGTATCACTGCTAACACTGCTTGCTATTACTGTTAATACTGGCCTTGCATGGTTAATCACTTAACACATACTTACTGTTCCTTGTTCTAATAAAAGTTGACACTTGCTGAGACATTCTGGGCTGTCAATCAGTTCCAAGAGTGCTTTCTCAGCCTCTATTCTTTCTGTGAGATCAGTCCCTACGTAGAGATGAGTACACAATGCTTCCAATTCGGCCAAATTCTTCAGAGGGAGAAAAAAAAAGACATTTGACTTAAATAAAAATAAATAAATATATATATTAGACACAGAAAATGAGATGCAGAAATACTTATATACATTCAATCAATATATAGTTATTGTTCAGCAATGACTCACTTAGATATAGTAAAAAAGAGGCATATCTCCTATTTCCCAAATTACTAACTTAAAAATTGAGTTATGCAATGCAACTTAATAGGGAAGATTCTCTCCTTAAGGAGCTCGCAAGGTTATGCCTGAAGAATGACATCTATGCTAAAACGTTCAAAACCAAGAATGCCTCAAACCTAAAGGGCAAACCAGACGGAGAAAAGATTAGAAGGTAGTGGAGGCAAAGAAATAACATTTACAAGGTCTTGAAATAAACCGAATGTACTCATTTCAAGGCATTAAACAGTGGCCAATAACAGCCAGGAGATGCCCAATGAAGCTAGAGGCTAGAATGAGCACACACAAGCTGCCCACAGATCAATTTAAGCTCTTCTGTTGTTTCCAATCCTACTGCAACCTATAACAAAAGAATTAATGATAATTATATGTAAGCTGACTTGGACCTTCTGAACTCATAGTGCTTCAGGTCATAATTTTTGATCCTACAATATTTCTAACAACATTCTAGCTAGTTATTGCCCAGGTTTTTATCTTATAAGCACAAAGACTAATCCATTCTTTCTACAAACACAGTATCATCTGATGATATAGAATACAGGGAAACAGTGAACTACCAAGTGAATTCAGTTTAAAAGAATCTTGTTAAAGCCGTTCACTAAAACAAAAGATTTGACTTGGGACTTGAATTATATTCTTGACAAAAATATTGGCAGAGATTTCAAAAACAGGTAGCCAAATGAACATAATGGGTTATTCCAAAAGAAATGCCAACTTTGTTCTGGCCTGAATTCTTTTTGTTTTGGTTTGATTTTTTGTTTATTTGTTTTGTTTTTTGAGACAGAGTTTCCCTGTGCAACAGCCCTAGCTGTCCTGGAACTAGCTCTTTTAGACCAGGCTGGTCTCAAACTCACCAAGATCTGATTGCCTCTACCTCCTGAGTACTGGTACTAAAGACGTGCTCCACCTCAGCCCGGATTCTGGCATGAATTTTTATATCCAGTTTACAGCTGCAGCAGGCTTCACACCTCTCAAATCCCCAAGCAGCACTAAAAAGGAGACGCCATGGCTCCCGTGCTTGTTCCCACTTCTCTCTTTGTAGGTCCTTCACATTTCCCACTTCCCTATTTGTGCCACAACCCAGTAGCCAAGACTCGAGAATTTTCCAAAACTAAAGTTTCATATTGATTCATTAAAATAAGGACCCCCACCAAACACAGTGGCACATACCTGTACTCCCACCGTCTAGGAGGAGGCAGGAGTACTGCCCTACGTTCATCACTTCACTTAGAGTTAAAGAGGCCAAGATGTACACATTGTACACTTTATACCACTGTAAGGTAAAGAACTATACCCCTAAAAGACAGGTCTAATTCCTAACCCTCAGAGTCTATGAGGAAAATCTTCATTAGAAATAAGGTCTTTATAAACCTTTAGTTAAGGAATTTGATGAAATCATCATAGATATGGAGTGGGCACTAAATCTAACTCTAAACTCAATTACTGGCATCCTTATATGGAAGGACACAGTTGTACATTTCTATAATCCCAGCATTCAGGAGGCTGACACAGGAAGGCTGAGAGTTCAAGGCCATCCTGGGTTTCATAGGAAATTTCCAAACAAAATGAAAAAGTCTTCCCTCATAGACCGGAGGCCCTGGCCCCCTTTACTGTACAGCGGAACTTTCCCTAGAAATCCATGAAATATAAAGATTGATCACGAAGCTAGGACATTCTGTCTATCAGGGCACCAATACAGGTGGGGACACGTGAGTGCCTGCCTGGGACTCTTAGAGCATCATGAACTGTGACAGTAAGACACGGCCCAAAACACCAAATGTTCTTGGAGGTACCAATGTTCACTTCCCTAAATTGATAAATTGAAACATTAAGTCAGTAAAATATTGCCTTCTTTTCAGATTGTAAACATGTTTCCATTGGAGGATAGAGAAAAACAGAACACTTGGAATAATAAAACCTTTTGCAATTGAAAATGAAAAGAATATCATTTGCACCTTCATAAAACTATTTGCAAAAGTAACTCTCATAAACATGGAAGTTGGCCATACTTTTAATGGTCTTTATCACCACTCTCTCTTTAAAAAGGAGTAATTTTCTGGAAAAAGAAAGGGAGAGGGAGATTTTAGATGCAGCGAGATACAGAGGAGAGAGCCATAGGAAGACAGGCAGAGACTGGAAAGTCACATCTAAAGCCAGGAAGTACCAAAACTTCCAAAAGCTAGGGTGAAACCTTCATAAAGAACCAACCCCATTTACCCCAGTCTTCTGGCCTTCAGAACTGAGAATAATTTTGAGTTTTAAGCCACCCCACTTGTGGCATTTGTTACAAAGGATCCAGAAAACCAATATTTAAAATATATAAATGTTAATATTAGTCAAATCAATGTTATCTAATTATCCAAAAAAAGCCTATTAAGAAACATCGTGGAAAGGTCTGGATCATATTTGCCTTCCTGTATTGATTTAATAAACTTCAAGGCAGAAAGATAGTATATAGTATATAGTTAGTGTTCAGTTGACATTATCAATTACCCCTTGTTCAAAGACGTTTCAAATTACTTTTTAAAAAACTTTTAGATTATTTTATGAGTGTTTTAACATTTATTGTTATATATATGGGTGTTTTATTTGCATGTACGTCTGTGCATTAGATGCATGCACTGCCTTCAAAAGAGGGCACTGGATCCCCTGGAACTGGAAATACAGTTAGTCATCTTTCTGAGTACTAGGAATCAAACCTAAGTCCTCTGGAAGAGCAGCCAGTGCTCTTAACTACTGATCCACCTCCCTAGGCCAATATTTTAAATTAACAAATGAGAAGTAGTAAAATATTAAGAGGGGAAAGTTTGAACTTTTATAAAAGATTTGAAGGGTACATCAAGTTTTCTGTTACTGTAATGGTTTAAAAAAATTCTGGTATGTTAAACATTAAACCTTTCCAGACAAAGATTCTTGCTCTGGTAGGAAGGTATGACCCAAACACTGCTAACCAACCAATCTTCTGACTAGCATGTGGTTTCCCAGAGAACCTATCTACAGTCTTTTATCTTTCTCAGTAGACTGATAAATTTTCATCTTGGTTTCTATAAACTGGTGTCTGAGAATATAGTAAGAACGGCTCAGAAAGGCATGCTGTCCCAATTCACTGACATGTTTGGATTATGAAAGCTTCTAAGGTATAGTGTCAACATTAGAAACACACATAAATAATAAGTACAATGAGAAGAACCGGATCTGGTAAACCTCCAAAGGTAACTAGCAAATATCAACAGAAAGACCCACTGTAAGACCCTAGTGGACAATGATTGGATCTTGCCTTCAGATTAAATACACATCTTCCTAGCCAGCCTTTAATTCCAGCACTCAAAAAGCAGGGACAGACAGTTGAACTTGAGGCCAGCTGGTCTACATCGTGAATTTCAGGCCAGATAGGGCTAAACAGTGAAACCCTGTCTCCAAAAACGCCAAATTCAAAAACGCCAAAAACAAAGAAAAAACGCAAGATCATCACAATTTTATGGACTTATTTCTTTGTATCTGACATGCAATTATTGGCCCCTAAATGTGATTTATTTCTATATAGAAAGTCTTGCCTAGTCTCTATCAACAGATGAATACTAAGCAAAAGTCAAGTAACAAAAATATGTTTTCAAGGTGCTTTGTTACTAGAAAGCAGGTCACTAGTTTCTTGGCTGCGTGGAAGGGACAGCAAGGGAGTAAGGAAGGGGAAGGAGAAGGCAGCCAAGGAGGACAGCAAAAAAGCATAAGAGCATAAGGAAACATACATGAACAATGGCTATTTTCATATTGTGGTGAGAATTTCACAGATGTATGCATATGCCAGAACTCACTCTATTGCAGTTTAAGCACATGTATTATTACGTGCCATTAAATTTCACTAAAAAAGCTTTTGCTCCAGAAAATAAAACAAAAATTGCTAACAATCTTTAAAGAGATAAACCTCAAATATCCCACCGTAAGACTCTAAAGTTCATTTCAGTTACTTCCCTATATCTTTCCTGCCTTCTGGGATCAAACTTCATGGCTGTCACTAGTATACACTGCCTTCATTTTGAGGTTGTTTCGTACAAACTGTTCCTCCCTTCTGTTAGTTGAGCATCCCTGAAGGCTTATACCTGGGCCTCTTGGAACTAACTCTTCCTTCAACAATGAATCAGATATTACATTGGTACAAAAGGAGTTGCAGGTTTGGATTGTAAATTTTAAATAATTATAGTAGGCTTAAAGCACAATTTTATTAATCAAAATACAAAGTATTAAAAAGCAATATATTTTTGCCGATGAGAAATAACTTTATTTATTCCTTTAGATCCATGCTTTGAAATTAGACAAATTCTTAGAAAGCAATTTCCACATTCTGTGGGTTATAGAAGTGGTTTTTTCATTGTTAAACACTGTCAAGGTACTTGTAGAAGTGGTAGGAAGATGGTAAGAGGTCAGGTGAACATGGTAGATGAGGCAAAAGTACAAAGTTCAATGAATACTGGAGCACTGATTGTGCAGCATGCAGTTCAGGTTTGTCCTGGAGAAGCAGGCCCTTTATGAACACTGCCCAATGCAGCTGTGGGTGCTGCAGCCTTTTGGTGCTCATGTCATGGACTTGCTGAGCACATTTCCCAGATGTCATGGTTTGATAAGAATTCATTGATCACGTAGTAGACCAGACAAGCAGCAGACCACCCAACTGTGACTATGACCTTCTTATGGTGCAAGTTTGGCTCTGGAAAGTACTTTGGATTCTCCTCAGTCTAACCACTGAGCTGTTCATCAACAATTGTCATATTTAATTCATTTTTCTGTCACACATCACAGTCTGATCAAGAAGTGGTTCA